TATATATACATGTGTGTATGTGAGTTTGCATACTTGTGTGTGTGCTTACCCAGGAATCATTTAAACACATTCTCTGGGAAGTTTATGGTTTTTCAACCAGGTTAGCCATAATTAAAATGAGCAGTTTCCTGTGAACTGGTGTTCTGTAGAAGGTAAGCTGTCATTCTTTAACTGTTGTGAGCTCTAGGTGGATTAACACAACTGGAGTGTGGTACTTGGTGTCCTGGTAAAAGAATCTGAGTCTGACTGGCCTTTTCCTGTGGTACTTCACTCGCTACGGCTAAATCCCTTCACTGGACTTACCGCAGCTTTATTTTTATTACTGCTGTTGTTAGGTGCCATTGAGTTGAGTTCCAGTCATAGTGACACTGTGAACAATAGATGTGAACCCTGTTTTATCCTGTGCCATCCTCATAATCTCTGACACATTTGACCCCATAGCCACAGGCACTGTGTCAATCCACCCAAGAGTCTTTGTCTCTTTCACCCTCCCTCCACCTTTCCAAGCATGATGTCCCTTTCCAAAGAATAGCCTCTCCTATCAGCATGTCTCAAGTATGTGAGACAAAGTTTAATCATATGTGACTTCAAGAAGGACTCTGGCACCTTCTCCAAGACATATTTGTTTGTTCTTTTGGCAGTCTATGGGATATTCAATACTTTTCCAACACCACTGGTCAAAGGCATCAATTCTGTCATCCTTATTCACTGCCCGGCTCTCAGCAGCATAGCAAATATGAGAAGACCAGGCCTGAATCAGGCATACGTTAGTCCTCAAACTAACATCATTGCTCCTCAATACTTTGGAGAGTCTGACTGCAGACTTTGCTAAAGCAACATATCTCCTGATCTCCTGACTGCTGGTACCAAGTGAATTGATTGTAGATCCAAGTGAGATGAAGCCGTTGACAGTATATGGGGACAATAATGCTTGTCCTATGCACCTTCCAGATTGTTTTGTACTGTGACATTATTTAGAAAACAGAAGGCAATGCTGTGTGGCGACTTTCCCATTCCAAGTCCCACTGAGATGATACCATTGAACCTTTCTTGTAAAACCTCTAGAACCTGATTCCTCACTACCTCTTTCTTGCCAAACTTACAGAGGCTGACAGCTGTCATGGCGACCAGTGGGGACCCAGAGGAGGAGCAGGTGGTCCCAAGTGAAGAGGATGAAGGGGACGTGAGGGCAGTGCAGGCCCGGTACCTCCGGAGCCCTTCCCCCAGTCAGTAAGTATACATGTTCTGAGCTCTGTGTCCTCAGCCACCGTGAAGATGTTTGCAGCTACCACCTTCAGGTCACTCATTCAACAAATGTTAGCGAGTACTCACTATCTGTCATTCTTTCTGGAGGAAGCAAATGTGCAGAAGACTGCATTGCAATGGGTGTGCTAAGTGCCAGATGTTAGTATGCCTAGAGTCTAAGGAAAGAGAACAACCGGACTTAGAAAAGAGGAGGAGATGATGCTAGATCTCAGCCAAGGAGGATGGACAAGTGTTGGGTAGATCTACCTGGAGGGGAGGAGGTGACAAAGGGGAAGGGCCGCAGGAGACCCATGCCTGATTCCCTTCCTCATTTGTCAGTGAAGGCCTATGTGTTGCTATATTGTGGAAACAAGTTTGACTGGAGCTCTTTTAGACAGAGACAGACTAGGAAGAAAAGTCTGGAGACTACTCAAAATCGACTCATGGAAACTCTGTGGATCTCAGTGGTCCAAATCCTTCCTGTTGTCTGTTGGGTATGAGTTTTCCATGAATGGAATATTGGGCACAACTGGATAGGAGATAACAAACTGGAAGAGGAGTGTGTGAAGGGTTCCGTTCACTAGTATTGAGGCTGGATATGAGGATGATAAGGATCCCTGGTGACACAGTGGCTTAGAGATCAAAAGATCAGCAATATATGGGCACCATATGTGGTGATTTGCTTCTGTAACGATCACAGCTTTGGAAGCTTGATGGGCCAGTTCTACTTTGCCCTATGTGGTTACTGGGAGTTGCCATCCCTAGATGGTTATAAGTTTGAGGATAATAGATCAAACACTGTAAGAAAAAGGATTAGGAGAGAAAAAGTCCATGAAACCAGAGAAATATTATTAGCATAATGTTTGTGTTTGCCATCAAACTGTATCTTCCAAAGGGAGATATATACAAATTTTGGGGCAAATGACCATGTGCTAAAGGGCTGTGTCTTACTGGATGATGCATCTTACTGTAAAGTCCTTTTTTTATGACAAGTATAATAAAAATTTAACTCTCTTATAAATGTACAAAAATTATGTTAATTATAGAACAGAGTTCAGGTCTTTTGTGCAAACCTTACTCTGAACTGTATTCAACTCAACAACACTTAACCATTGCTAACTGAGACTAGTGCTGTTATATCTGGAAGAACATTCTTCCACTTTGTACATCACTCTGTCAATGTGCTGTATTAAGTAACCTGGGTTTGCTGTGATGATGAACCTTGTGCCATTGGGGATATCAAATACCAGAATGGTTTCCCACCATGGACAGTGTTTGGTGGAGCTCCCAGTTGTAAAACAGTTTTGGAATCAGGGGTAGCATCCACTTCCTAAACCACATGCCTCTGGAAGCTATGAACTTGGACAAACGATGGAAAAGCATTAGGTCTTTTGTTCACAGACTCACTATGAGTTGGCCTCAACATGAAGGCAATCTACAACAACAACAACAACAAAAATTTACGTAAATAACAAAGAACAGCTAATAAGACAGTTTATGTCCACTACACACCTCAGGACATTTGGTTTCGGGAACATCCCAGTTGAGAGACCTAATAGCATGTTAAGTACTTCTGTTCTATCTCTGGGGTCTTAACAGTGTGCACATGGTCATCCAGTTTGTTCCTATTTGCTGGAGCAACAGAGACAACAGACAACTAGGGATAGGAGGAGGATATGAAAGGGGTGACTAATTGCCATGAGATTGGAAGAGTAGATGGTCCAGTGCTATCATTATTGAACATTTTGATCAAAGGGACTATTGAAAAAGCTAGATCAAAAGCAAGAAAATAGAGAATGGAATTTAAAATTCCCATGACATTACTTTCTGGAGGTGTGCATGGTGGAAGGACCCCTGAAACTATTGCCCTGGGATAATCCTTAAGTACCACGTTGCCAGGAAGGACCGGTCCTTGGAGAAGGGTGGAAAGATAGTGCAGGAGAGGAAGACCCTGGATGAGATGGATTGATATGGTAACTCTAGTATTGGGGGTAGGTGTGTTGGTGACCGTGAGGCTGACTTAGGATAGGGCTGGGTTCAGGGCTACTGTGCATTGGGTCGCAGGTGACTAGATGACACATAAGCTGTGGCCAGAAAAGTCATATTAAGTATTTCACGGCTTCATACTAACTAAGAGAGAGTGTGTGTCCATTGTCTTCTGCTATAAAAGACACTTGTCTGAGAGTGGAAGATATGATAACCACAGTCTTCCCCTCTTAGTTCTTAAATTACTAAGAACTCTGGTGTCCTAGTGGCAAGAAGGTGCATTGCAATCTGGAACGCACGTGATTCAAGAAGGATGAGCAATCTCCTCCCATGGGATTAAGGAGTTAATCTGAAAACCTGCTGGAGGGTCAGCTATGAGTTGGTTCTGACTCTATGGTACACAACAGCAAGAATAATGTAAATTCTTGCACTGGCATCTTTTCATTTATTAAAAGGAAAGGAAAGACCAAGCTACTCAAGGCAGCTATGATTTGAGTGAGTCTGTGATTCTGTCTGACGTTGTTTTTCCTTAGTCCCCTGGAATCTTGCGGCTCCTGCTTTCAGAGCTCAGAAAGGTCATCCAGTGAAGTAAGATGAGGACCAATGACAGGTCTGCATCACTCCTGGGTTTGGGCATTTCCCCCAAATGGAGCTTAGTCATTAGCCAAATGACTCTTCCTTTAAAAGTCACTACATTTCATTCTTTAAAAAATTTTAAAAAATCTCTTCTTCCTGTCATTGGTAGTTTTTGAACGTTAGATAATTTTTTCCCCATGGGGTCAAAAGATACCTAAGTATATGATTGTGAATGGAAACACATGGGGCAGAAATCAGGGACTGGCAGTTTTTCCATTTTCATTTGTGTGTGAATTTCTAATACAAATGTGGGGATATAAAGCATTACTGCAAGTAAAAAAAATGTTTCCGTGAACAAGTTTCAGCAGTTCAACTTAATAACAATTATAAATAAACTTGTTAAATTTTTCTGGACAAATGCCAGCATTTGGATTTTTTAAAAACAAGTAAATTTCTTATTGATGGCAACTAAATAGTGTTTGTAGCATTTTTATCATACAGAGATCCATCCATTCACTATACTTTTCTAACTGAGTTGTACATGTGAGTACATGTTTTTAATGTTATGTCTTCTGTAAATTTGCTATTAAAATACACTAAACTATAAAAAAAGTCACTATTATCTTCTCATTTGGGAGAACTGTCAGATGGGGAGACATTAAATATATCCCTGTCCTTCTCTATACTTCCAGACAAGGTTGATGTGTGAATGTTGTTATTGTTGTGAACCATCAAGTCGGAACCATCTCACAGCTGACCTTTCAGCTGCATATGAAAACTGAATAAGTTAAATTTCCAGAGGCAGTAGAATTGATTGGATCCCATGGGAGTTGATTTGCCCATCCTTCTTATGCAGAGCACCTGGTGGATTCAAACCCCAAGTCTTTGGTTAAACAGTGCAATACCTTACCACTAGGCCACCAGTTTTAGTTCTTTGTTAAGGCTGTTGTTGTTGTTAGATGCCATCAAATCAATATGACTCACAATGGTCCTGTGAACAACAGGTCTGAATCCTGTCTTATCCTGTACAATCCTTATAATTTCTGTCATACTTAAGCCGGTTGCTGTAGTAACTGAGTCAATCCATCTCATTAAAGGTCTCCCCTCTTTTACTTAGCCTTCACCTTTCCAAGCATGATGTCTCTCTCCAAGGAAAAGCCTCTCTTAGCAACATGCCCAAAGTATGTAAAATGAAGCTTCATCATCTTTGCCTCCAAGGAACATCCTGGCTGCACTTTCTCCAAGACATACCTGTTTGTTCTTTTGCCAGTCCATGGGATATTCAGTACTCTTCTCCGGCACCTCAGTTCAAGGACATCCATTCTCCTGTCATCCTTATTCATTGTCCAGGTTTCAGATGCACATCAAATGAGTGAAAAAACTATGGCCTGAATCAGGTGCACCTTAGCCTCCTCAGTAATTTGGAGAGGTCCCTGACTACAGGATTTCTCAGTGAAATATGTTTCTTGATCTCCTGACTGCTGGTACCAAGGGGATTGATTGTGAATCCAAGTAAGACGAAATTGCTGGCAATCTGTTTTTTATCTATCATGATGTTGTATATTGGTTCAGTGTTACTGGTTCAAGTAGAGCTAGCTAGTTTTTATAACAAATGGACTTTTGGGCACAGAACACTTTGTCCACTCAAATTCTATTATCTAGGCCTTGGTTAGGTCATGCTTTCTTAAAAGTGAGGGTGAGCAGTGAAGTCCATGAGTCCGGGAAAAAGAGGAAATGATATATTGCTACATAGCAGTCTGACTCACAATATATTCTGCTAGACACTTAATACTGAGCTCTGGAGGCTTAGTGGTAAGGAACTGAGCTGTCAACCTGCATGTGGTTTGAATTTGCCACCTGTTCTGTAGGAGAAAGATGGGCAGTCTCTTCCCCAGTGATTCACTGCCTCTGAAAAACCACTGGAGGATCAGCTATGAGTTAACCCAGACTTAACAGTACACAACAACAGTCACTTAATATATAGGTTACTTGTTTATTCTCCACTCACCCAAGATATTACGTCCTCTCAAGCCACATCCCATCTACTAACTGCCGAATACAGTTCAAGTCTGGGTTCTCTAGGAGGGTGTGTGTCCTTCCCCTCAGGCATGAATGTAGTCCCTCATGATCTGACCTAGATACCTAAAAAATGGGGGGAAAGAAGAAACAAAACACTTCCCAGCGAATTAAAGAAGGAATGGGAAAGATACAAGTCATGAAGTCATGTAATTTATGTCTGTCCCCAAAATGGCGTGTTGTTTTCATTATGTACCATTGTGTTGGAATCTACCCATTCCTGGCCCTCCAGTAGGTTTTCTGAGGCAGTAAATCATAACGATAGAAGAGTGCTCATCTTCTTCCCAAGGGGAAGCTGATGGATCCGAACCACATGCCTTTGGGTTGACAGCTCAGCTCCTTACCAA